AAGCAATTATCTGCAAAGAATAAAACTTTACCCCTCCATGATGCTTGAAACAATTGTTGCTGCGGTAAATTTTCCGAATCTTCTTCTTTGGTTTAGTATGAGCTTTGGGTTAAGTGGATGCTGCAGCCGTCTCCCGACCCGGGTATGAATCTCTGGTTTGAAGAAATGAGAAAGCGTAGAGGAAACTAATGATTTAAAGACATGCATTCATTCCAAACTTAGAGAACGATGAAATGTTTTACAGAAGAAAGAAGTGAAATGTTATGTGCAGGGATGAATCTCACCTAAACGAAGAGAACGGCCATATTTGGCCACACGATGTACGGAGTATGAGTCAATATATCGGGGCCCTGGGCAAAGGCTGGTGGGGGGCGTTTGAGCAACTTTTGCACAGAGATCAAAAATCACGAGATGCTTAATTGAAAAGAAATTTGATTCTCTTTTTTAACTGTTTCATCCTAAAGTTATGACCCCAAAAACGTAAAATTTGATAAGGAATAAAAATGGTTGATAATTTCAAAATACGATAATCATGTTTCTATTTTTTAATTAGAAATAATTATTATCAAATTTAAAAATATCGTCATATTTAAAGTCTCATATTGTCAAAACATGACAGTAAATATTCATATTTAATGAATAAAAACATGATTGTCTTATTTTGGAATATATAAATATTTTTAGTCCTAAGTTGATTCTAATAATTTACACATTACCTTTTTCTAATAAATGAGGAGCCCATGATTGATTAAAACGTGATAAGAAAATTCTCTCTAGGGTTACCTTGCACTAGCGCTTAGTCTTTTGTGTTGTCCACCATCGGCTTAGCCGAGTGGGCGTGGGTAGGAGTTTTGCAAGGGAGTGGTTTAGTTTCTTGGACCGTTTGGCTTAGGAGGGTTTCAAATCGAGCAGGGCTCCGATTATTGAGAATCGAAGGCCTCGGTTTGGAGGAAGAGGCGGCGGATTGGACGAGTCGGCTTCCAGGAGCTTCCGTGCCGCGACGGAGCATCTGGCAGAAGGACAAGGAAACAAGGTGCGAATGAAAAGCTTCGTGGATAGATACAAAAAGATGGTGATAGGGGCATAGGAAGAATATCTTGACCTCGACAAAGTTAATACAGAGAACGTGCCGGTGGAGGAGAGCAGATCGGGATTTCCGGTGGTGGGAGTGCTACAGACTGATGGGAAGGTCAGATTTCCAGTGCTTAAAGAACTCATGTCTTCGATCTGGAGGGCGGGAAAGGAACCTCAATCCAAGAAGTTGGTGAAAAAGGGTATCTTTTTACTTTTTGTCATCGTGTTGATATGAATCGTGTGCTTGATGACGGTCCTTGGCAATTTGAGTGTAATCTGTTAATTCTGAGAGAAGTTAAACTAGATGATGTGCCGCATAAGATTGTTTTAAATGAGGTTGATTTTTGGATTCAAGTTCATAATGTTCCTTATAGTCTAGTCAATCTGGGTACTGCAAGACAGGTTGGAAATTTTATTGGAAAATTAATAAAGTATGATGATAATCAGAATAGAGAGAAATGAGAACCGTTTATGAGAATCAAGGTGTGTATGACTGTGGATAAACCTTTGAAAAAAGGTATCAATCTGAAAAAAGAAGGAAAGAGTTATAGGATGGACTTCATGTATGAAAAACTGCACAACTTCTGTTTTATTTGTGGCCTGATTGGGCATTCAGATAAAATTTGCCCCTTAAACTATGAAGAAGATTTAGTTTTGGGAAAACAATTTGGGGTCCAACTGAGGGCGAGTGGCGGCGGCGGTGGTGGGGTGGGTGGGGGGGCAGCCCTACGGGGGGAAGTAAATGGATGATGGAGGGTTCACCAAGATCTGACAGAGACTGGAAGTATATGGGGGAGAATAAGGCTGAGGGTGGGAAGGGAGAAGAGGGGAAAGAGTCAGCATCAGAATCGGTTCAGAGTACAACCAAGGGTGGGGGAGATGAAACAAAGGAGGAAGCATCAGGGGAACAAAAGCGAAGAAGAACCCGGGACTCTCAGGGAGATGACAAGATAGGAGAGGATAACATGGCTCTAGATGGGACAAAAAACGGGGAAGAGGCGGGCTTCGATAAGTAAGTCCACCAGTTTTCATACAGTCTGAACCAGTGCAGGGAATTTGGATGTTCGTGCGGATTGGCAAGATCGGACAGCAGTTCGGGTTTTTATGTTTTACTTTTTTTGTCGTAAATTTAGTTTTACTTTTGTGGTGTGTTTTGTTTTTGTTGTTCCTTTATGTAAGATTGTGGATTTGGATGTAAGGGAGGGAAAGATTGCAGTAAACGTCTATGGCTCAATTATGCCTAGTAATGGATCACCGATTTATATTGCTTCTTATGAGGTGATTAACTCTGAGTCTAGTTCGCGGGACAACATTTGCCAGAAATCTTTTTGTCAGATTACCTACTATCTGAATGATGGGTTATCAATTTAAGCCTATTTCTTCCAAAAATAAATAAATGAGGAGCTAATCTGGTCGACTCAGAAGTTATTCTTTTCACTTGATCTGAATGTTTCTGATGAATTTTTTAAGTTTTGTTAAAATCTGATCTGAATTTTTCTGATCTGATCTGAATCTTTCTGACCTGATCTGATCTGGATCTTTCTAATCTGAATCGTTCTGATCTGATCTGATCTGAGTCGTTCTGATCGAATCGGAATCTTTCTAATCTGATTTGATTTGAATATTTCTATAATTATAATTGTAATATAATTATAATTATAATTATTATATATCTATTTGTAATTACAATTATAATTTAAATAAAATTATAATGATAATCATAATTATAAAATAATAATAATAATTGTAATTAAAATTAAAATTATAATGATTATACCTATTAAACTAATTATAACTATAGATATAATTTTGATTGTAATTATATTTTTAATTATATTTATTTTATAATTATAATTGTGATTATAATTATAATATTTATTTTTATATTTATAATTACAATTAGAATTATAGTTATGATTAAAATTATATTTATAATTTTAATTTTCATTTTAATTAGTCCGTATAATAATAATAAAATAACAACAATAACAACAACAACAATAGTAACAATAATATTAATTATAATAATAAAAGTGATAAATCATCTTTGAACTTTTCTGATCTGATCTGATCTGAATGTTTCTTGTCTGATCTGATCTGAATGCTTCTGATCTGATCTGAATATTTTTGATTTGATCTGATCTTAATTTTTCTGATCTGATCTGATCTGAATAAAATAAAAATAAGCAATAAGTAATTAGAATAAGACGAAGAGAACAGCTTCTCAGTCTGAATTCTCTCGATGATCTCAATGCTAGTTATACAGGGATCATTATAAGCAAGGGAAGTTGACATGGAGGAGTTAGTGATATGTTAGGTGGCTACTACAATAAGACTGTGTGGAGCTCCTATCAAAAGTTACCCCTCTATTTTGTCTTATTTTAATAGTGTACGTGATTTTGTTGTTAATTCCCTTGTTAAAGACTATGTTGCTAGATGAGGAAACAATCTGGTTCAACTAGTCGTCGCTCGTCAACTCACTCTCTCTTCTGGGAGGTCTCAGGTTCAATACTCCAAGGAGAGAGTTTGTGCCCAATTTACTCCAGGACCCCGTAGTCCCCTCAACCCCCGGGGTAAAAAAAAAAGACCATGTTGCTAGATATGTGGGGATGGCTGGAAATTTAACTAATTATTATGGTGTTAGAAGTTTACTAATCTATATTGTCAGTGATAACTACTATGACAAGTCCGTTTCGTAATTAACAATTCGTGTTACTCTTTCGGGATGACCACCTCTATATCTAATCGTATGGTAAACATTTGTGATTGGTGGAGGATATATAATTTTTGTGTGTTTGATGCAACGATCTTGAAACTAATTATATCAATATAAGGGATTTCCTTTAAAAAAATGAAGTTTTGTTTTACCCTTACATAATTTCTCATTTTGAATTTTAGATATATGAATGTATAAATTTGTGTAGTTGCTATTCCATATTAAAGTTAATATTGCGAACATAACATGTCACATAAGATTAATGATTTTCTAAATTAATATTCCACGTTGAGATATTGGAAGTCCAATTTATAAGTGTCAATGTTGTGAAGCGCCTTTTCCATACAATAAAGATGAAAGTGAGGCTATATAAATCCAAATAATCAAAGCATTGATAAGCAAAACACATGGACCTCCTATAGTAGTTTTATAATAAGTGCAAAAATATTGTATGTATGGTATAGCAGTTTTCCAAACTGTGTTCATTCTTTTTTATTTTAATGTTTTATATAATATGATCATAATGTATCTCAATATGATTGGGATAATATATCTTACATTAATATTTCAACAAGAATATGTAATAAGCAAAATATCAAAGCTTTTTTTACTCGCTCATCACAGTGATAAAATACTAATGTTATTTAAATCTTTAAAAAGAGAGAATTCCCTAAACAGGAGTAAAAACGTTTTGAAATTCCAAAATAGGAGTATCATGTTTTTTATTCTTTGAATAGGAGTAAATTTCTGCCAAGTTTGGCATTACTAGGTTTTAAAACATGACATTTTTTTCCAAACTTGGCAGATTACTCATATCCAGGGAATAAAAAAGATACTCCTATTTTGGAATTTCAAAACGTTTTTACTCCTATTTAGACATGTATACAATAAAAATTATACTCCCTCCGTCCCAAATTGTTTTGCAAAGTCAATCCTTTCAATCGATAATTAATTCAATTTTTAATAATTAAAACTTACATATTCAGAAACTACATTAAAATCTCTTCAAAAATGTAATCTTCAAATTAGAATATAATTAAAAATTGACATCCTAATTAAGCAAATAAAAAGAAATTGTTTGACCAAGAAAAGTCAAATTTGCAAATCAATTCGGAACGGGTACCACTATATATCGACAATAGGACATGTACAGAGTACTAGTATAATGCATTGAAATGACATTTCGTTTGTTTTGTACTTTTAAGATTTATTGATTAATGTCTAGCATTTCAATAAAATATTAGGTGGTACATATCACAGGTGAGTTGTTACTTGATTAAAATCAAAAACTGAATTGGTGGAAATAGGCAGATAGTGGAACACTTGAATGTTATACGATAACAGATTCAACACATTTACAGATCCTAATTAGTTTTTTTTTTTTGCATTTTAAACCCGTTTAGAATAGGTATCATTTTATTATTGTGATGCATCGAAAACTGGAAGTTCAATAAATTTCTACAAATTACAAGAAAAACAAACACTCGATTTCAGAGAAACCATCTTCTTCTTCATTCGTCGGCTCTTTGAGATCTCGAAACCGGAAGTTGTGAAGCTCGAACAATCTTATCCTCAAGCACGCCGCATGAATCTTTACAAGAAAAGAACCCAACGTTTTTCTTCTTCTTCTTCTTCCTCTTCCTCACTCCATCATCCTTGCTAAACCACATAAAGTTATCACCTTTTGGCCCAACGTTCTTTGTACACTCCATATACGCAATCAAGAACGGATCATCACGTTTACCGATCACCCCTTTTCGGGACGAATTTCTCGGCACCGGTGGAGCCGTGCACGGCGGTGGAGGGATTTGCAGGCCTCGGTGGTATCTCAGAGGAGAACTCCTGCAGCCATCATGCGCCGCCGCGCGCGGCGGAGGGGGCAGCTTGGTGTGGTGGACATGAAAGACTGGCACTGTCGCCTTTCTGATCCCGGGCTTTTGCTCCCAAGAAAAGGGCACGTCTCCCTTGGAAGAAAGGGCGTGATTTTCACTCATTTTTTTCTTCTGGTTCATTCTTGGACATTTTTGCTCTGTTTCTTCATTTCAATGGGATACTTATAATCATAGAATCATAGCTAGAGAGACGTGGAAATGAAAGAATTGGGAGTTACGATTCTACACATATATGAAAGAATGGGCCGGAGGCTGTTCATGTGTTTTATGCCATCTAACGGCTAATTTTGCTTTAGATGCGCAATTAAAGCATGAAAGCAAGGGAATGGGTAGGTTTAAAGGTAGCTTTTTAACAGAATTATAAACGGATTTGTGTCATAATTATTGCATGATGAGAAGAAGAAGAAGAATTTCAAATTTGTTATGAGGAACTGAGGAAGAATTTACCTCTCAAAAAAAATGAGGAAGAATTTACATGTTTTGATTTTCTTTGAGCAGCAAACTGGCATTATATCGTACTTCTAACTGAGTAAACATATGACATATAATCCTCCTTTCTTTTTATTTGCCCCGCTACATGTTTTTCGAAAATTAAGAATAGAAATTACTTCAAATAGGACTAAAACAATGACAAAAACTCAAAACAGGACTTGCTATGTTTTTATTCCAAAATAGGACCATATGAGTCCTATTTGGAAACATACCTATTTTTACCTTCCATTCTTATCCTTTCATTAAATATGAATTAAAAATAGTCAAAAGACATAATTAAATGTTTAATTCATAATAAATTCTAAAAAAATCAAAAATTCGTAGAAATAATTAAAAAATTTACAAAATATTTATAAAATAAAAAATTCATTTTTTTAATAATTTTTTTTAAAAAAGAAATTAATACTCCCCCCGTTCCTAAAAATTCTTTCCGGTTTGACTTGGCACGCTTATTAAGAAAGTGGAATAAAGTGGAAATGTATGGTTGTGGTTGTGTACGAAAAAAGTAAAATGAATGTTAGCCACACAAATTGTCCAAAATGGGAAAGTGAGAACTATTTTTGGGAACAGCTCAAAAAGGAAAGTGGGAAGTATTTTTGGGAACGGATGGAGTAAAAAATAGTAAAACTCCATAAAAAAAATTAAAAAAATATGGATGCCTTTCCCACCGCCTGTACTACCGCCCTGCACCACCACCTCCGGTCAGTGAAAAAAATGTCATTTTTCCTAAAAACTATCATTTTTTCTGAAAATGTCAAAAAAGTGGCATATTTCTCTTTGCGAATGTCAACATTTTCATTGTTTTTTGCCATAAATATGGCATTCGTAATGAACTTGGCATTTTTCCCCCTGGTGACTGGATGTGGTGGTGCAGAGGCGGCAGAGGCGGCGGTGATTTTTTTTTTATTTTTTTGAGTTTTTTATTTTTTTTTATTTTTTTTTTATTTTTTTTTAGTTTTTGAAAATAAATAAATTAATTAATTATGATTATCGAAATATTTTTATTAGTTTGTTAGTATTTTTTACGAATTATTATTATTTTTTATTATTTTATTATGAATTAAAACATTTCAATAGCTAAAATGGTATATTTGTCCAAGACACACATAATTAGTCCTATGAAAACATAGTTTAGTTTTTGGTCCTATGTGTGCAAAGTGAGTCACTTTTAGTCCTATTTTAATAATTAACCCAATTAAGAATGAATCAAAGATTTGCTTCGAGTACACGCGGGTTACACACCTAAATCTAATTGTTTATGCATAGACAATTACGTTTGAGTTTAGTAAAGAGAAGTGTCTCTGATTTTATTGTCTTTGCACAGACAATTCATTTTTGGAGTCATAAACACCTATATTTACTAAAACCCAATGTAATTGTTTGTGCACATACAATTACACTTAGAGCCCGTTTGGTGAACCCTTTTTTCGGCTTATCACCTTATCAGCCAGCTTTTTCACCAAACACGTAACTTTTGATTTCGCGCGCTGAATTTTGTAATAAGCAGAAAAAGTAAGGTCAGAGTTACTTTTCTGACTGTATCGGTTGAAGTTACTGTAGAGGACCATTTTAGCTATTTTTACATATAATTTTTTCTTCATTTTATTAATAAAATATATTTTAAATTTATTTTTTTCATGAATCAGCAAAATCAGCCAATACAGCTACTTCAGCCAGAACTTCATAAATTTCAGCGGAATCAGCCTATTCAGCCGTATTCGGTGTTACCAAACGGGCTCTTAATGTCACTTTATTAATTCACTCTATTCAGCCAGAACTTTTTAGATTTTTAGACCAAAACGATGTCACTTTATTAAATGATACGGAGTAAAATAATTAAAACCCTAAGGTAAATGACACTGATGTTAGAGTAAAATAATTAAAACCCTAAGGTAAATGACACTGATGTTACTACATCAGATTTCAAAATTGAAATCAAACCAGGAGGCATAGAGGAGCTGAAGCTTATCTGAACTGCAAAGAGGTGCTCGTTCGACCTTATTGAGCAACGAGCAACAGGACAAGGGAGTAGCTTTGCTTCTCAGCTTTCCATTAAGTTTGTTTTAACTATTTGAGTTTGGGCGTGAGGCTTCTAATATCCAGTTCGCTTGTTTACTTAATTGAGTTGTTTTAATAGAACCTAATTAATTGAATTATTTATTTGTACCAGTTACACAAGCCCGGATTTCTTCAGTATGTCTCATCATCACTCTTCATCATTTTCAGCTCACCTATGTCTTGCTTTCTGTTTTCCAGCTTCACTCGCTATCAAAGACCAATATTACAGAAATTTGTAGCTTTATTGAGTACATTTTAGGGTTAACATTCTAGTGTTTTTCAGAAAATTTTCAAACGAGCTATTTGATATTTTATGTTTCGATGTTCGCCTGTGTTTTGGTGCTTACATTGTACACCATGGAATTATACTTGCAGGTGTTCGCACGGCCAGTACTTATAGAATGCCTTGGTATGTTTTTTTTAAATAAAAGCGTAGAGGGTATTCAATTCCCTGATTGGACTTGTTCTGTTTTCCTCATGTATTATTGTGATTATTGTGATACTTACTTGACACATGATTCTGTAAATCATCATGTCCACCCGTCCATTTTTTAATGTTATTGGTATCAATTTACTCTGACTTTGTTATTTCTGAATCTTGTGTCACAACCGTCTGTTAGAAAGCAACATAATTCTGGGTATAAGCACAAGGTATTGTCTAGTAGTTTTTTTTAATTCAAATACACGATTTTACTGATTTATTGTAATTTATGAGTTGAAGGTTGGTTGAGGCCAATGTGAGGACTTACTATCACCAATTTCGGGTTTGTGTTAAGCAAGAAATGAATTCATGGAACCTCCATTGGCTTAGATAAGTACAAAAGTAGAAAAATATACATGCTTTGTAGTCCGTATAAACCAACCCTGTGTAGATGTTCCTATGTGAAGGATATAGCTTAACAACAGTACACATAGATTGAACAACAATGTTTGCGCTCTTGTTGATTTACTGTGAGTATCTAAAAGCAAAATATTTTTTGTCATACAAATGTAAGTTCTCCTATGTGTATTCTTTAGGAAAAGAATAGGATATCTACCTCCATTTGTTTAGAGTTTTCTTGAAATTGAAAAACATATTTATGACATTTAATCATTTAAGACAGATTCGTTGAAAAGGAAGAAGAAATAGTCTATGCAGATATCAGGTGCATAAAAAGAAGAGGGATATATTATTTATGAAGTAGAAAAATGAAAAACACAAGTGCCATTGATCCTTTCTTAAACCACCCACAACATTCTCGATTCTTACCTCGTGCCTAGACCACCCCTCAACTTGCTGGATTTCCAATTTGCCAACCCGGGTCCTAATCCTTGCTTGAGCTGCCCATTGGCTATTTTGAGATAACAAAGAAAAACCGAGCTCTGCTTTTTAAATGCTATTCAAAAAGTGATTCATTAGGCCAGTATTTCAACCATGATAGATCATTGCAACAGTTTTTATACTTTCAACATACAAATAGATTTACAAAAGTAAAACTATAACTACAAAGAGCCTTTAATCTTTAAGAACCTGCCTAGGTTAAATATAAAAATTAAATTTCTATTGTTAGAGTCCTTACATTATTGTTTTCACACACAATTGAAATTCGAGGTTTATAAAAGATCGAGAATGTGAACCCATAATATTAAAAAACAGGAAAACAATTGTGGTAGCGGAAAGAAATCGAATTTCACGAATAAAATACTCAATATTTAAGAAATTTGTTATACCTTGGTTTCAGAAAAACCGAATTTTATAAAAACCCTTTGAAATTCTTCATAAAAAGACCAACCATTTCTTCTTTCGAGGAACATGTCTCACAATCAACACAATTCTTTTATTTTGTCAGAGTCAAGAGAAAGAAAATACCATGTAATCCCTCCTTTATCACTTTAAACGTTACAATGCCAATTAATGATATACAATAACTCATATTATACCATTTATGTGGAGTAGAAGTAAAATTGATGGAGCATGAGAGTGAATGAGTTTTTTAAGAGTGACATGTGGTAAATTCTTAAAGGAATGACATATTGCAAAAGCTTCCACCAATATGACTCTTAAATGTATAATATATAGATATAGTGTAACACCGCCCCCCAAGTATTTGTACTTTATTAAATTATGTATTGAACCCTGAGAAAGGAGTAAACACATTTTACGTGATTGTAAATTTTTATCATTTCTTTTACGTGAATAGTTAAATTCACGTGGGGCCCACACCGGAAGTGGGGGCCGCCCGATATTATCGGGACCACATATTATTTTCATCTTGGCCAAGATACTATGTATGTGGTAGTGTATATCCAAATTGGGTAGTGACAAAGGTATAGGGTTGACCGGTTGGTCCAACGAGACCTGATTATCAGTATCCACAATTTATCGGATAACAGCACGAAAAGGAATTTCGGAGACTTCTAAATTAAAGTTGAGGAATGTATATTCATTATGAGGTTCAATAATGATGGATGACATGTGTCATATTTTATCTGACCTGATAAAATAAAATATAATTGAAACAGTCCGGAAAATACAACTTTCAGGGCCGATTGTACACACCAGGACATAAAAGGATGACCTCCCACATGAGTGGGGGCCACCCCACGAAATTATTTGAGACAAAGCATGGGCTTGGGCGACCAAATGGCAGGGGTGGTGAAGGAGGGGTGTTTGACTTGAGGTAAATGGAATCAAAAGGACAAAAAGGGGGGCCATGTCCTTACCATCATTAAGGGAATGAACCAAAAAGGCATTCCCATCACTCCTAACTCCTATCATTCGAACCAAGTCTCATCTAGGGGGAGATAAGGTCTTCAAAACCACCATTTTCATCTTCCATTTTCGCACCAAGAGAAAGGGAGGAGGAGGAAGGAAAAAGAGAAAAAAAGGGGTGACTGAGAAGGAAAAGTCTAGGATAACAAAGTAATGACTCCATTAATCCCATTTCTTTTCCTTAATATTCCTTTATGATTATATAATCATATTTTATACACCCCTGAACTTTTTCTACACATTCAAACGTGTAGAATGAGGGGTTGTAAGGTAGTTCTAAGCCCAAGAACGGACTTAGAAGCCAAAGTGACCGGTTCGCCGGAAAATAACCTTTTAGAGGTTATTTGAATTAATATGGGTTTTGTGATGGTAAAACCTTATTAGGAACTTGTCTAAGGTGTTCATAGTATTTATACGGAGTTGGAATAACTCGCCGGAGTTTCGCCGGAGTTTCACAAAAGTCACCGGAGCTTCGTTGGAGTTCAACCAAGGAGGGTATAACTCCATAAGCTTCATTTAAGGTGAGAAGACGGCTTTATGCTTTATAACTTTTGCGTGAGGCATGAGATTACCTAAAGTAATCAAGGATATGTTTTATAGAATGATTAAAGATAACCAAGTGCTTGCTTATGCCATGATTATACATAAAACATAGTTGAAAAGCATGTTATGTAGGTTTGATGATTAAAAATGCGATAACATATTATGTATGATGTTCCAGGGATCCAAAATGGTATTTTTGGATTAAAGACGTCAAGAAGTACATGTATATAAAATTTCACGTTAATCGGACTTCGTTTGGGTAGTCAAACGGGCGTTGACCGCCAAAAAAAAGGTGATACCCGACCCGGTATGGGTAAATACCCGACCGGGTTTTGATTAAAAATGGCTCCAGAAGCCACTGCCACACTAGACCCGACCGGGTATGGGTATAGACCCGACCGGGTATGGGTATAGACCCAACCGGGTCTCAAGTAAAGTTGGCTCCGGCGGCTACTGCCTCACCCTACCCGACCGGGTATGGTTGGATACCCGACCGGGTATTGGGTTATGCTCAAAACGGGCAGTTTTGAGTAGGTTAACGCGGGCCATTCAGGTGGGACCCGTCCACGTTGGTTACTAAGGATGTTTATATGACTATAGGGCTAGGTATTTTCCATAGTTAAGGGAATGAAAGGTTATCAATATCCAGGTCAGGGTTTGGTAAGGAATAAGGTTGGGGTTGAGCATCCCCGGGACGGTAAATGATCCTGAAACTCGGTTGGGGTTGAGCATCCCCGGGATGGTAAATGATCCTGAAACTCGGTTGGGGTTGAGTGCCCTTGGACGGTAAATGATCCTAAATACTCCAGGTTGGATTGAGTGCCTTGGACGGTAAATGATCCTAAAACACTCGGTAGTATGAACCGAAGGTAGACTATAGCTTGTGAGCTAGGCATCCGGGAAAGGAGTGAGAAACGTCAGGTAAGAACTTATCTCTAAAAGACTCTTTAAGGTAAACGACCTACGAGTTAAGTATTTTACACGTATATATACAGTATGTATCATCGGGTGGATGAGTTGCAACTATATATATGTATCACCCTATTTTTGGGTCTCGTGTCCGAAACATTAGTTATTCTTCATATAGCCTGCTTGTCACCAGTACTTCTATGGAGTACTGACCCCTCCGGGGCCCTCACATTTTTCAGGTTAAGGCTAGAGTCCTACTACCTGCACCTTTGCCTAGTGTGACTGATCAAGAAGGAAGACGTGGTTCGTGCTTCCATTCTTATTTAAAAATTTATAAGCTGCTCATGGATATTTGAACAATGTTTTCCTTTAAACAGTTGGGGGCATGCGTGCTCATGTTTGCCATGTGTGGCTAAATATCAAACAAATTATTTCCGCATTCGTTTGATTATGATATTGATGTTGATTGTATGAGTTTACTAATCGGTTTGGCAATAGAATCTATCGGACGCCTTGTATGATTCAATAAGGATGAACTAATGTTGTTCTTATTGGGTTGTACGACGGTTGTCTACGTGGTTCGGATGCGGTCCGGGGCGTGACAATTAAATGGTATCAAAGCCATCGATTTCTAAACTATATAATTAACCTTTCAATATTCTTACCATTAAAAAGTTTTGAACAAAACCATGAGCAAAAGTTTTTTACCTAAGGAACCGTTGGAGACCAAGTTATTGACCTCTTATTGTTAAGACGGTACCCTTAACAGTTTGTTGGCCATAATGTTGGACCAAGTGATGTCTTTTGTACTATTCCGTCAATTGACATTGAAACAAGTCTAATGGCTCATTCCTGATTTCTTCCAGAAATGGAGGGTGGACGCAGGATCACTAGGAGAAACCCAACAGGGCGTGCACTGGGGCTACCGAGCACGCTACACGGGCTGAATCACGGACCTCTAGGGGTAGAGGCTGAGTCCAAGGCCGAGGAGGAGGCCGAGGCAGGGGTCGTGGGCGTTCTACGACGCCGACGACAAGTAGTACTTGAGTCGGTTCTGTGCATCCGTCTTGGACCACCGAACCGGACGATTTCACTTATGCTCCAAGCACGGAGCAAGAGGAGACCCCGTACAACGGGGAGGGCTTCGAAGAAGAAGATGAGGATGATGATCCTCATTACGACCGTATGAGCGATGTACTAGAATGGTACCTCGAGAACAAGGGAAAGAGAGAACAGCGGCGCCAAGCTAGACAGGCTAGGCAAGCCATGGGACAGGGAAGCCGGGGAGCTTCTAGTGCTCCAGCAGGGGCATTCGGAGGAGACACGATGGTACGTATCTACAAGTACCTCAAGGAGGCTAGGGCCTTGGGGTGCAAATCGTTTGATGGCAAGGGCGACATATCTGAGGCCGCCGACTGGATTAAGAAGCTGAATGATGCTTCTAGGGATATGCAGATTGGACTTGACATGAAGTTGAGGGTTGCCACCAGGCTACTAGACGGGGTAGCTGCTGTATGGTGGGAAGGCGTGGAAGGAATGTTCCGCGTCGAAGCCACTTGGGAGAATTTCGAAGTGGAATTCTATGATGAGTACTGCTATGAATTTGAAATAAACCTCAAAAGAAGAGAGTACACGAATTTGAAACAGGAGGATGATTGCTCAGTGAGGCAATTGGAACAGAGGTTCCGAGATTTGGCACGATTCATACTAGAATACTCTTTGGATGAAAATCGTATGACCAATCATTTTTGGGATGCCCTAGAGTTGGACATACGTGATCGGGCTACTTATCATCATCACATGACTTTTAGCCAAATTGTGGATCAAGAACTCCTTGGGGAAACCCAATGGAACGAAAGAAAGACGAGAGATGCTGAGGAGGCAAACAAGTGGAGATGGGGTAACTCTAGACCCCAAGACCATTCCTGGAAGCATCACGTCGGGGGTGGAAGTTCAATTTTCTCAAAATATTTTCTTTTTTTTTGAGAAAAAATAATAATTTCAACAGTTGGAGAAATTTCTCAAAATACATAAATGACTTATAATAACCCGTAAACTGCTTATACAGAGTAATATTTAAGACACAATGGTTCATTTTGAGAAAATTATTCAATAGTTGAGATTATTTTGAGATAATTGAAACTTTATATTATTTCAAACGGATCATATTTACCTTATCAGTCGATTATTTACCAATCACATATTTTTTTCACACACCAAATTTTGAACTGAATTCATTGAAATAATAGAATAAAAACCATTTTTAACGATTTGATGATATGATTTTTTCTTAGAGAAATGGGTTATAATGATAAATTGATAATACCCATAGAAGCGGCGGCTAATGTGAAATTTCGCGATGTACTTTATCGTTTCTCCTCGGCCCATCGCCGCTCAGTATTAGGGTTTTCAAGAGACCTGCATTTTCCTATAAATCCATCAATACATCCCTAAACCACTCTCCTCAATGGCGGTCCAACTTGTTTAGCTCTTTTGATGGTTAATTAATGTTTTTCTTCCCCTCCGATGATTATAAAAAAATTCCTCGTTTTTATCTTTTAGTCGACTCTGTTTTTATAAACTGGTGCGATGATTATAAAACAATTCCTCGTTCTGAGAGCTGTTGCCACGGCATGACAGACCCATTTACACCCATAGAATATGAGCACTTCAACTCTGGTTTTCTTTTTGTGATTTCTTCCTTTTAGTTTCTTATCAAATGGTAGACATTTTTTATCCTTTTCTTTTTCTGCTATGTGACCGTTCCCAGTAAATAACTTTAGGCGTTTTTTATAAGTAGTTTTTCAGAAGGTGGTCGATTAGTAATTTAGTTTAGAGATAATTTGAGTTTGTATCAATTTTATTATCCAAATTAGACTTTGTATTTGTACCTCAATCTTGTACGAAGAGACAAAAATGATCCAGAAATATGTTGAAAGCTAACGTAATTGTTAATGGAGTGATATTTTCTTCTTTTTATAGAGGATTGGGGGTTCAAATACATAATTTTTTAAAAACAGGGTGTAAAGTTTAATTTGGATGATAAATTATGGTGCGAACGTCAATTTATGAAAAACCAACTGTGATTCTACATTAACTTTTTAAAAAGAAATATAAGCAACATCAATTCAAAGTACTTACTATTTTTATAACTTAACTAATATTGTGCTTTGTTTCATGTAAAGTTCTAAGGTCATGTTTGGTACGACGTAATCAATATGTAATGTAATGAGCATTACGTCTTGATTTGAATATGATGTTTGATATGTCATTTAATTTTAAACTGCAAACAATCGATTATATAGTCTAATTATACATGTAGATATACAAACATAATTATGTAAAGTTGATTACATTACAAAGTTATTATTATTATTATTTAAGTAATCAAACATAGTAATAGAATAAAGATTCCATTACATTACATTTTGTATTACATTACACATTTTTGATTCCATTCCATTATATTATTACCTCTGTTCCACTAACATTGGGATGGAAAGGGGTGGCTCAGTTATTAAGAAAAGTTGGTTTACATGGTTATATTAAATTGATAAAGTAGTAATAAAGTAAAAATGATTTAAACCACATAAATTTTACCAAATTTGGTATGCGATAATCTTAATGGGATTTCTCGAAAAGATAAAATGAGACAATTTTAGCGGGAAATCATATCAAACATGTCTTAAAATGAAATGTTCGCAGGTCTTCAGAGTTTTTTGCTTTTTATTGACGTTTACAACACATTGGATTGATTAAATACTAATAGTGCGTAATATCCTGGTTATTCCAATTGGTGGGCTAGCACTAATGGGTCAGTTAGCCCGTTTTGGAATTTGGTATTTTGGGCCAGTTCTACCCTTCCTTAATCCTTACCCGTGTCTCCGCCCTGATAAGGTTGCCTTTGGTCTTCGGGCAGGCTGGGCAATCAGAAGTTGTTCTGACCCGTTACCCCAACAATGTTTGGATATTTTATACTACCTCTTTCCTGGTGGATTTTGCCAAATGTAAAATAGGTGAGAAATAAGAATAGTAAAAATTGTGTGGTTGAGATTTGTGCAGAAGAAAGAGAAATGTGCATAATCACAACCGAAAAAGAAAGGACGGACGGAGTATAAGGACTAAATTATTGTCGATATAAAATATATAATGCTTCGTATTTGCTGATAATACAAAAATTAGAGTTACAAGGAATTACAACCGAAAAAGAAAAGACGGAGGGAGTATAAGGACTAAATTATTGTCGATATAAAATATATAATGCTTCGTATTTGCCGATAATACAAAAATTAGAGTTACAAGGAATTACAACTTGTCGATATGAAATACTTTTTTGATGTATTTCATTGTTTTTGTCATTCAAAGAATTTCAATTTAATTACACAATATTAACTCTCATTTGTTTGGTGATTTGATATCTATTGAGAATAAAATTTTCAGAGATTAAGTTCCTATTTTGGATGTTTTCTTTTGGACTAAAATTCGCAGGTCTGGTTTGATCTGTTTAAGTCTTGTCTGGTTTGATAAACGTTGTGTCACTGTGTATTTTATAATTATGGAAGTCTAATATGACTTGTTTAAGTGTGGTTTAGGATGGAACACAGTCTAAAAGAGAACTTCATTTGTCTATTAGTTATTTTATGATTGTTTAGGTGGATTTGCAACTAATAACATAATAAAAAGTGCTAGGGTTACACAGTCTAAAAGAAAACTTCATTTGTCTGTGTTCACAGACATTAATTTTCATGTAAAAAAATATAGTGACAGTTGTCTGACGCTGACATCAGCTTGCACATCAATCTATATTCTATTCAGGCTTGTGTTCACAGATAATATTTTCTTGTTGCACAGACAATTATTTGTTTGTGTTTATGAACAATATTTACCACACATACAATAGTTGTGCGGCTCTCAAACAATAGTTGTCTGTGTGTTCAACTTTAATTGTTGTTGTGATCAATTTTAATTGTCTGGGTAAACCAAAAATTTGATTGTCTATATACATCCAAATGAATGATGTATTTGTATGTGTGATCAAATTACATGTAATTTGAAAAAAATTTAAAAAATAATAAAAATAGATGAGGAAAGATAAATAAACCGATTTGTGCAAATAATTGAAAAAATGATATAAAAAGGTAGAGAAAAAGACGATGAAGAAGGGAAGAGGAAAATGAAGAAGAGAAGATGGATGATCTCCCATATTTTTTTGGAATTTGTCCTGAATATGAGTAAAAACATTTTGAAATTTCAAAACAGGACTTTCATTTTTTATTTTCTAAATAAGAAGAGTAGTTCTGCCAAGTTTGAAAAAATGTCATGTTTAAAGCCTAGTGTTGAGGTTTAGTCTCGCAGATCCGAAAGCTCAACGCCCGCTTTGGATATTAAGGACGTGGAAAATAGGTCAAGGATAAAAGAAAATATAAAAGTTGAGTAATATTGTGCTGAAAAGACCACTTGTATTAAGTAATTCGTTGTTTATACAGGAAACTTCCCGAACGGGACGTCAAAACAGTGATTAATGCAAGAACAAGAGTGTGAAAGTTATTCTATGCCCGAGTCTCAAAATGCTAACCTGTTACAATGTAATTAATGCCCATATTTATAATAAAAAGGGGTAGATGGGGGTATGGGATGTTCCATGTTGATTGGTTGCTAATCCAGCCGCTTGAACGCCCATACTTCCACTTGCTGACGTCATAAGCCCATACTCTAGCATTTAATGCACTTGCCACTTGGACGTTGCCCGTTCATGCAGCGGAATGGCGGTTCTGTTTGGTGTCCCGTCAATATGGCTCAAGTATATCATGTGAGCCATTCCCCGTTCGCGACCCGAGTGAACTCTTATGGACCCTCGGTTCCCGTTTGGGTTACATCTCTTCCTGAGCCCGTTCTCCCTAGTGGCCTTTGGACCGGGTATTGGGCCTTCAGCCCAATATTCCAACACCTAGTAATTTCAAACTTGACAGAAATTTACTCTATTCGGGTAATAAAAAATATGGTAGTCCTATTTTAAAATTTCAAATCTTTTTTTTACTTCTATTTAAGGAATTCTCTCTATTTTTCTTCAAATTTTTTGAATTGATTTGGTAAAGAGGAAAGAGGAAAGAGAGAATGGAGAGGGTACATCATATAATTTTTGAATTATATGATGTACACTTTGTGTACCTTAAACATTATTCTAAGACTATTCTCTCTATCTCATTCAACTCTTTTTGTACATACATTTTTGTATGTGAATAGGCCATTACTCTGTATATTACTTGCATAAAAAATTTGTCATGATTACACACCAAACAATTGTTTGTTAACAAACAAAAACCTAGTGTGTACATATGGCGTATACCCATAGGACGTACAAACATCAATTTTGATGTTTCTATTCAATTCCACTCACTTTTATTTTGCTTTGGTGCAAAAAAAAATTGAATACAAAATATAAAGGAGTTTCCCCCCAAAAATAATACCTAAAATAAAACTTATTTACCAAAATATACTACGGAGTAATAGTTTGTACAATGTAATGTCATGATAACTGAAATTTATAAAATGATCCTAATTTACTATGATTCCGCTACAATCTTAATCACTAGTCAAAATTTTTTGTAAACAATGTTTACCGTAGTTATGAATATTGATAGGCACTAGTTGTTAGTGTCTAAGTATACATTTTTATTATTGTTTGTAATGTTTATTTACTAGTATTGTGCAAGTTTGTAGTTGTTAGTTTGTATTTGATTGTAATTGTATTTCTAGCATTTTATTGTGTGTTGTAAGTTGTAGCTAGTTGGGCTTTCAATTTAGGACTTTACCCGGCCGGGTATGAAGTGACAATGGAAATTGTTGCAAAACTAGCAAATACCCGATCGGGTATTCCATATACCCGGTCGGGTATGAAGTGATTTGGGGCAAAACAACGTGCAAAAGAACACAAAAACATGGGAAAAGATTTGATTTGATAAATACCCGGTCGGGTATGTCAAATACCCGGCCGTGTATCCGGCATTAGGTGTTGAAAACACCTATAAATAACCCCATTTTCCTTCACTT